CGACGAAAATGCGTTCGCGTCTGGCGGATAGGCCGGCACGCCCAGAATCACGGTCGTCACCCATCCCGCCATGGTAGCCAGAGCCCGCATCGTGCAGAACACATCGGCAGCATTTGGTGGAGAAGGCGTCGATAGTTAGAACCGCATTTGTGGCGGATAGGCCAGTACACCCAAATCACGGTCGTCCACCACCCCTCATGATGGAAACCAGGGCCCGCATACAGCAAGAAACATCGGAAGCATTTGGTGGAGAAGCCATCGACATGACCGCCCTTTCGGTGGACAAGCTGGCATACCCAGAATCACGGTCGTCGCCAACCCCGTAAAGGTAGCAAGAGCCCGCAGGAAGCGTGAAGGATCGGAAACATAAGGTGGCGAAGCCTGCAAGAGCCACATTTGCGCCCCTCACAACGTGAAGAAACATCACCGCGATACCCAGGAACAGGTTTTGGAGTGTCGGAGCAGGAATGGACATAGGTGTTGATGTCGTGGCTGGGGTCTGAGCCGGAGCAAGTGTCGGAGAAAACACAAAAACTGGTCCACGCACCCCTGCGTCTCCGGATGCCCGCGAGCATTACCAACCCTTCCCCGAAACAGCATCCAAGGGCTGGGTCGCCCCTCGCGGCTTCGAGGAGAAGCTGGTTCATGTACTTCTTGCTGTAGGCAAGCCCTTGCGCAGGCCGATGTCGCACGATCTCGCACGTGATTGATGAGCACCGTACATGACGTATAACGATACATATTAAAGTCGCACCTGGCGATTCGTCAAAGATTCTGCTAACATCCAACGAACCACGGTAGATGGACGGTCGTGCATCCGCAAACGAGTGCCCAACCATTTATGTATCACTGGACACCACATGCAATGCTCCACGGCGTCGCGCGCAGCGGGGCAGCCCAGCAAGCACGCGCCTTCTCGGATCCACAGACTGCGCATCCGGCGGCCAGACGCCCAGGGAGAAGAGGAGGATGCCCATACGAATTGGCACACGGAAGCGCATCCCAGCCCGCGCCCTGCATCTCCACGTTGCCCGTCGCCCGCCTCCTGAGGCACGCCTGCTGGCGGAGCTTTCTCGCCGCGGGACCGCGCGGCGGCCGGCGCCCCCCGCCGGCGCGCGGACGCGGCTCTGGCCCCGAAGGGCCGCGCGGAGCCCCGCCGCGGCCGGCGCCCTCATCAGCGGGCTGCCCTGCGCTTCTCCCGCGAGGGCGCGGGCGCGGCTCCCGCCCCGAAGGGTCGCGCAAGACCCCGCCGACGCTGGCGCCCACCTGAGCAGGCTGCCTCCAGGCTCTCCCGCCAGCGCGCGGGCGCACCCAAGCGAAAGCACCCAGTGCTCACGCCCTCGAACTCGACGGGCGCCTCGAGCCCCCGCCCCCCTCCAAGTGGCCCGCCGACCCCCGTCAGCGCGAGCTTAACCGTCAACGGCCGAAGGCCCTCTTCTCGCGCACGCGCGCCCCAGGAGCAGTCTTTCCTCGGCGGGGCCGTCGCCTCGACGCCCGGGGGCCCCCAGCAGCTATCTCGCCGGCGCGGACGGCGCCGCGCTCGACCATCTCCAAACGCCAACTGGCCAGCCGACCCACTCAATTCCGAGAGGCGCACGGTCCACGCGGCGCGTTCGCACTGGAGACTGGCCTACACTAGGTCGAGGCCGCCCCGCGCCTTGGCCCTCCGCCCTGGGAAACCGAAGCCGCCGACGAGGGCGACCCTAAAAGCAGCCCGCGTCATGCGTCGCTCCGAGCCGATGACCCCTAGGTCGTCGGAGCGGGCCAGCTGCCCCACGAGCCAGACGCCGCCCCGCAAGTAGGGAGTTGCTCGCAGCGCGGCGCCGAAGCACACGGCCCACAACTCCGAAGTGCTGGAGACGCCGAAGGCGCCCACGGCGCCGCCGTCGGTCTCGCCCACGAACCCGCTGGCCAGCGCCCCCCCGCCCACGCGAATCTTGCCGAGCCGATGCGCGCGGGCCGCCCCCTGTAGCAACCCAGGATGTTATTATTCACCGCTGGCCTCGGCGCCCTCCGGAAGTTCCTGCGCCGGAACCGATAGTTCACGGTGGCCTCGCGCGCGCCGACGTGCACGAATCGCCTCTTGCCGCTCGCGCTCTCCAAGAATGCCAACGCTGCTATGGAGTTGACGCCGTGAAACCGGCAGCGCGACTGCTCCTTGAACCCATCGGCCATCCTTCCCGAACTCGCCTCGCCCGCGAGGTGTTCCCGGAGCAGGGGGCCGCGGTCCCCCATGCCGCTGTACTTCGCCGCTTCTGGGGCGGCCCAGCCGGCCGCTCTGGCGCGGCCCAGCGGGCCGCCTCCAGGATCGAGGCGCGCTGCACGGGGGGGCGACGCGCCAGCGCGCGAGCTGGGCCCCCGCCCCGAAGGATCGCGCAGAGCTCCGCCGCCGGTCGCGCTCGCGCCCACCTTCGGGGGCCCCTCTGGTTGCCTCGTAGACCCCCCCCATGAAGTCGAGCGGCTCGCCAGGGTCCGCCCGAGCCAGGCGCGCCTGCGCCGCCATCTCGAACGGGGGCGGTTTCTCGGCTGTCCCGCCGCCGATGCCCTGCACGATGCCCTCGACGGGCTCGGCCCCAAAGTTCGGGGACTTCTGGAGGCCCAGGCCCCAACAGAAAGGCGGGGGGAGGCCCGCGCCGTCGAGGGAGCCCCATCGGGCCCTCAAGGCACTCGCCGCCGCGCGGTGGCCCCGCACAACCGATTTGGCGGAGGGGGGCCTCGGGAAGCGCACTCCTTTTCTGCGCGCCACGCAGCGATGATGACGCCCGTGCGGCCGTCGGATTCCAAGATGCCGCGGCCCCCGAGGGCGCTGCCGTCGAGCTCCGAAGGCGCCTCGATCGGGCATGGCCACGTCGGAAGCCAGTCCGCGTAGGCCGCGGCGTCGCCCGTTCTGCCGCGGCGCTCGACGGGGAAAGGGTCGCTCAATTTGCTAGGCGGGGCCTCGGCCTCGTCGCCGCCCATGCAAACGCCCGCTCCGCCGAGCGGGCCGCTCGCTATAGGGGCGCCCCTCCTCGGCGCCCCGAAGCAGGCGCCCAGCGCCGCGCGCGCGTCCACCGAGCGACTCAGCGCGAAGTCCCCCCCCTGCCGGGCGGCGAGCTGCGCGGCCAGCATGCCAATGCCCTTCGCCGCCCAATCGCACAGCTGCAGGGGCCAGGTTGCGACGCGCCTGTCGTCGAGGCCGAGGAGCCCGCATGCAGGCGGGGCGCTGCCTGCGGAGGTCGCCCGCTCGGACGTCACCGAGGTCCTCGGGCTGCTCGAGGAGGCCAGCTGCCCGCGCGCTGCTTGCCAGTTGTACCCTCGGGTCCGCGGTCGACTGGACACCAGGCCCCTTGTTCCGCGGTCCTCCAACCCCGGAGTCCACGTGCACCGCGCTGACCGCAGCGGGCGCGGGCCTCGGCGGCGCGCCCCCCTGGTCCGTGGCCGTGGATTGCAAGGTGGCGAGGCCCCAGGCGCGCCCCGCTCGCCTGCTGCCCGCCGCCTGAGATAGTCGCTCTGCCGCGCCGCGCGGGGGGGGTCCGCGTCGCCCGAGCTGGCCACCCACCCCCCTACACGCGCCTCTCGGACTGCATCTGCCCCAGGAAGACGTCGAGCACCTCAGGCTGCGCCCATGCGCCCTCCAGCTCGAAGCCTCGGCACGCGGCCGCGCGAGCGGGGTCCGTAGCACGGACGACTGGATCCTCGCGGCCGCGAGCAGCGCCGTCGGGGGGACCGCCGCTGCGTTCACGATCGCGCCCCGTTGCCCGACGGAGGTGGCCACTGGCCATGCTCGGGGGGGGTGGCCGGGCTCCGAGCGCCCCCCCACGCCCTTCGACGCGCGTGGACAACGGGAGAGACAGTCCGTCTTCACTGGCCCTAGCCCAGCGGCCCCTCCCCCCCTCGCCCCATCCGCTTCGAAGCCCCCCCCCCGCGGGGAGCAAAAGGCTACGCCTCTCGCCAGCTGCCTCGCGAGCGGCAGTCAGGATGACCTCGCGGGGTCGAGGGCGCCCAAGCGCTGCGGGGGCGGCTCGCCACGCTATGCAGACGGCGCGGGCCGCCTGGACGCGAAGCCCGGAAGTCCTGGGCGCGGCCGCTGGGTCTGCACTGCTGGCGGCGGCCGCGGGGGACGCGGCCCCACTGGCGCAACACCCAGCGGCAGGAGCTGCGGCCGCGTGCGGGGCAGAGCTGCGACTCAGGGCGCCGCTGCCGTCGCTGGCGCTCCCTCCTTATCGGAGCTCGGCCCGGCCCTGTCAGTGGAGCTCGCCCCCTGCCCGGGCGGCCTCGCCTCACGGGATGCCGCCCCACTGGACCGCTGCCTCGGCTTCTCCTCGCGCTGCGCCCACAGCAGCCCGAGTTCCACAGGTGTGGGCCGGCGCCCCAGCAGCTCCTCGCATCTCTTCGCGGCCTTTGAAGCCCCCCCGGCAATGTCCACGCTCGACCTTCGATCGAGCATCGCCAGGTCCCTCCTGAACCACTCGCCATACTCGTCCTCGAACTAACTGATATGCTGCAGCTCGTGCTTCTGGCTCCACCCGCCTGCCCGCAGACGCCCCACGTCGCACGGCACCAGCATGTCCCAGTGGGCAGCGAAACTCGCCAACACCGCCCGCATCGCCACGCCTGCTGCTCCTCCTCTAAAGGCGGCGCCGACGGCGATCCCATGCCGAAGGACGCCACGACCTCTGGCTGCGGCGGGCTGGGCGGCTGCTCTCGGGAGTTCAGCGGGAGCGTGGGCATCTCCTCCATATGTGCCCCGATGTCGTCCCACTCTGCCTACTCGCTCGACATCCCCAGCACGCCGCTTGTCCTCCTATCGGGGCTGCCTTTTCCTGGTGCTGCTCCTGGCGCTGCCTCAGCCACGCCTGCTTTTTCTGCGCGGCTGGCATGTCCTCGACATCGCCTGGCATCGCCCGCCAGCGCTCCGACAAGGCTTGTCCCGAAGGGCCGCGCGGCGCCCTACCGCTACACGATCACTACTGCCCTGCCACTGCTGCGAATCCTCGTCTTGCTCGGCCGAATCAGCTGACGTGAGCTGCGCTCCATCTCAGTCTGCTTGGCCACGAGGTAGAATCTCGCTAGAACCTCGCCTTCCGCAGGCTTCCCGCGCGACTTCTGACAAGCCGGCCTCACCGACAGGCGGTCGGCGACGCTCAGCGAATTAACCATCTGGCTGGCGCCCCTGCGCGCGTTGCCCCCGCCCGACCGACGTGTTGACGTCGAGCTTGTCATTCTCTTCAGCGGACCTGATTGCCTCTGTCCTTGATCCCCCTCGAGCTGTGGCCCAACGCTGCCCGACACTTCCGCTTGAAGGTCAGCCTGAGAGCCTTTCTTGTCACCTCGCCCACACCTCCACGCAGGCTCCGAATAGCTCGAACCCGCGGTCCTCCGCGACGCCTGCTGCCACGAAAACTCGAAGGCCCGACCAGAGCCTTTGCGGCCAACGAGAAGCCCTTCAGCGTTCCAGAGAGGATACGACAGCGACGTAACAGAGAGACAAAAGTGCATAAACCTAAACTTTCGACTGTTCGCGCGGACCGCAAAAGTTGATGTGTGCCTTGCTGTTTGCTGTTAGGTGTAACCCTTCCCCTCTGTGCCACCGTACATAGATTACTACGCTGCCCTGGTCAGGGCAACTCGCCTAGAAGCCATGGCTACATGGGCTGGTAAGCACACGCGAAGTGTCAAGAATTGCTCCAACTGGGAAGAAGTGTTCTGCCAAGAGGGGCAGCAACGACGATCAACGACGACGATTCACAACAGCGACGACGACGACGACGGCGACAGCGACGATCGTCTAGCAGACAACGCGCGGCACTTCAGGCAGAAACCCATCGTGGGGCTGTCCGCATCGTTGGCCTTCGTGCCGCCCTTTGTTCTAACCTGCGAGTCGACGCAAGTCTGCGTCTCCTGGGGCGGACCACAAAGAGTCACGAGGGAGGACGGGGAAGCACACCGCAGAGGAGGGAGGGAGAGAGAAGGGGAGGATCGGATCGGATCGGAGGTCCGCGCAAGGACTCCACTGGGAGCCACTGCCCGGGGCCTGCAACTCCAAGTATGGGAGATGCAGGCCAGGGAGGACAAGGAGGAGGAGGAGGAGGACGACGACGACGACGAGGAACAGGAAGATGGGGGTTGGAGGATTCGCCCTCCAGGACTGTGACAATCTCCTCCGAAAAGCCTACTGGCCCAGGGACGTGGCCCAACCCGAAACCCAGGTCAGAGCGCCCAGAGTGCAGCAGCGTGGAGCCGCACAGCGAAAAAGCGTCGTGACATGCGAGCGACAGCCCAGTCAGCAGGTACCTCCACGCGGCCCTCGGCACCCCCAGGAGACCACAGAAGAAAAGCTGGCGCGGGGGCCTCGCGCGCTCCGGCCGCGATCTCCTTGGCGGCGCCCAGGAGTGGGTGGCACGAAGAAGGCTTCCTTAGAAGCTGGGGTGGGGTTCTGAGAAGCCCCCCCTGCCCTGCCTTCTTAGAAGACCCACCACCTTCTTAGGAGGCCGCCCCCCCACGCCACCCACTTCTGGGCGCCGCCAGACTCCAGGATCGGAACTGATGCCAACCAGCGCCAGCATATTGTGGGTGTCCTCCCGGCATGTGCGTCTGGAGCTGAAGACTTTGAAATTTAGTTCCGTCAGGGAAACCATTGAAGGTTCTGAGTGTGCGGAATCGTGCTCCGGGCATGGAATGTGTGTCCACTTGAAGGTACAGTCTCATACAGACGCCAATGACAATCCGTTGCCTGGCATACAGTCCTCCTCCTGACCGTATGTCTGCGAAAAAACTATTCACTCGCAAAAGTTCTTGGGCTACAGAACTTAGCCCGAAGGCTAGATGCCATGACCTGCCAGAAAGAACATATGTGCCTCAGTCTGCAGCACACGCGTGCCCATATAATACACATCGTGCATGTGCTACGTGCTACGGAAAGCAACCCACATTCGTTTTTGCGGATATACATGCGATGTCGCCTTCCCCTGCTCTTAGTGCTGCAGCGGGCCCCAATCCCCACAGCAGTGACCATAACAATCGTCCCGCACCAATTCCGTTGGTATTGCATGTCCAGCGCATGACCGGCAAACTACCATCACAACCACCAACGTCACAAGCGATAGCGTTGCTGCTCTCACGACCCCTTCGCTGCCGTCGGCAAACGAAGCTTTGGAGCACACTGCACGATGGCCACTTTCTATGTTCAATCCGAGTGTTGGCAAACACACACACACACACACACACACACAACCACCACGCATTACCAGATTCATAGCCCCACAAACGAAAACCCCCTCAGGACAAGCCAGCAAAGAGAGAGAGAGAGAGAGGGAGACAAGCGGAGGAAGGGAAGAGGGGAATCGCACCAGCCCTCTGGGCGGAGGTGATTGAGGGAGCTTCCCCTTCCAACCGTACTTCTTCCCCTTCGGGCAGGGTCTCCTCACTGCCCCTCATTAAATACACCCCCTCCCCCGCCCGATGGGCGACAGATCAAGGCCAATGCGGAGAGGCCTCCGCCATCCCTGTCAAAAAACTATGCAAGGTGCACTTTGTGGCGACATCTTGGGTCGTCTTCGGAGCCCCTCGAGCACTTTGCATTGTTGCTTGACAGGGACGGCGAAAGGCAGCATATGGTTTGCTGTGCGCAGGGCCACCACCCGTCAAAAAACTGTACAAACTGCACTTCGCGGCTAAATCTGGATCATGCAAGGGCACCCCGGGATCATTGCACATAGACGGCCAGGGTGCTGGCATATTGCCTGCTGTACGCAGGCCACCATACATCACGATGGCCACTCCGCCACTACTGTGCATTGGTTTTCAATGGGGTGGGGCCGACGTGGTGCACCTCGCCCCAGCGTCGCGCACCTGGGGTGCGTGTTGGTTCCCATTAGAATTCTATCCAAAGACGGCCGCTGAATATGGTGAGGCTCGGGTACTACTAATGTGTTGGGGGGGCGAGCGGGAGGAAGCCGAACAGTTTGCGTCTGGGAGAGGTGTCTTGATCACTGTTCCCTATTAATAAATACCCCTCCCCCAAGCGACCGACAGCCAACCTGGGTCAATGAACCCCCCCACACCACCCCTTCTAATCATAATACGCAATACACTGTCCCTCCAGATCTGGCGCATGCGCGGGCGCCCCGCGACCACTTTGCCTTGGTTTGTCACAGGGACCGCGGGGGTGCCGGCATATTGCTTGCTGCGCGCAGACCAACCACCCCTATCAAAAAACAATCCAAAAATACACTTTGGCTCCAAATCTGGAGCATGCGCAGGGCCCTCCTTTTTCTCTGAACTCCCATCTGCTTCACGACTCCTCAAGATGTCCTGATTAGTCGATCGGTGCCGGTGCTTTGCGTCCCCTGGGGGGGCCGCCCTTCTCACAGGATGCTCGGCCCTTCGCCTCAGGGGGATTCAAGATCTTGACATCCTTGGGACCACGGCCCCAAGCACCTGAGGTCCCTATCGGTTCCCAGTAGCTGGCTCACCTGGCGCGGCTGGAACACGTGGCACAATTTGCGCACGTGGAGCGTGTTCCGCACCTGGAACCCGTGGCGTGCATGGCATGTGTGGCGTTCTTAACGATTTGCTGACACTCGTGTGTTCCTGATGTGTCGGGAGGGCGGGCGGGTGGGAGTGAGCTAGACGGCCTGCTATCTAGAAGGGTAGCTTGATCACTGTTCACTATTAATATACACCCGCTCCCCCAGGCGACCAGGAGCCAACCCGAGTCAATGAGGGCACCCCCCCACCTTGTAAAACTCTGCCTCCAAATTCGGAGCATGCGCAGCAAACCCGATGCGGCCTCCCCCCACCATCCCTGTCAAATAACAATACTGAATACACTTGGCGGCGGCAGCGGCTGCGGCGGCTACGGCGGGGGCAGCGGCTGCGGCGGCTGCGGCGGTGGCGGCGCCGGTGGCGGCGGCGGCGGGGGCGGTGGCGGCGGCGGCGGCGGCGGCGGCGGCAGCGGTGGCGGCAGCGGCTGCGGCGGCAGCGGCTGCGGCGGCGGCGATTCGGCAGCGGGGGCGGCGGCGGCGGCGGCGGCGGCGGCGGCGGCGGCAGCGGGCGACGCGGCGCGGCGCGGCGGCGGCGGCGGGCGGCGGCGGCGCGGCGGCGGCGGCGGCGGGCGGCGGCGGCGGCGGCGGAGTCGGCGGCGGCGGCGGATTCGCCCCCAGTAGCTGCCCATCCAAAGACGACTGCTGCATATGCTGCGGCTCGGGCCAGGCTCGGGTGCTGCGTATCTGTTGGGAGGGCGGGTGGGAGTGAGCGAGACGGCTTGCGGGCGGGGAGGGCGTCTTGACCCCTCCCCCTACCCCCTACCCCTGGCTCTGGACGGGAGGGAACGCGAGGCGTTAAAGTGTCCAGGATGGCCCAAGATGGCTCATAGAGGGCATCAGAGAGCCCAAGATGGCTCAAAAGGAACGTCAGAAAGCACAAGATGACCTCCAAGATGGCTCAAGATCGCGCAAGGTCGCTCAAGATGGCTCCCAACATACTCCAAAAGGCTCCAAGACCGCTCCAAGATGGGTCCAAGAAGGCCCTGGGCTTTTCAAGGAGGCCCCAAGACGCCAAAACCTTAGGAAAATCAATGAGTTGAGCCTTCTCACACATTCGCTTTCGATGGCCTTCCGAGACCTCAAGAAGGCTCCAACAGGGCCCAGAGAGACCCACCCAAGACAGCGCCAGGACCCCAAGAGACGGCTTCTGGAGCTCCAGAGAAGCAGCTACTTAGGCTCACCCATCTTTGATCGATGTCCTCCCAGATGGCCCCCGAGGCCCCAAAGGCTCACAAAATGGCTCCCAATGATGCCCAAGGTCCACCAAGAGCGGCCCCCGAGCGCCCCCAAGAAAGCCCCAACACCTCCCTCTCTTCCCACCTCTCTTCCCACCACCTCCCCATGATCCTTCTCATCCGCTTCATCCTCCTCCTCCTCCTCCTTCTCCTCCTCCTCCTCCTCCTCCTCCTCCTTCTCCCCCTCCTCCTCCTCCTCCTCCTCCTCCTCCTCCTCCTCCCCCTCCTCCTCCTCCTCCTCCTCCTGTTCCTGTTCCTCCTCCTCCTCCTCCTCCTCCTCCTCCTTCTCCTCCTCCTCCTCCTCCTCCTCCTCCTGTTCCTCCTCCTCCCAGCTAGGATTAACAAGAATTGAATGATAACGCTCCATCACACGAATGTTCCTTGTGCTCGCC